TGAGAGAAAAAAAGGTAGGTAGATTTTTAAGTATTTAGCTGCCTGGCAGGAGAAAAAATAATTTAAACATTCGTTTAAGTATTTATTTTTTACTTGACATTTTCCTTGTTGAAACCCTATTTTGATTGTTCTGGCCGGTAGCATCTCTTTCCATATCAAACATTAAAAAACAACCGTGAACGAAACCGTCTTGACAATTCAACTTTGTGTAGTAATAATTAAACCTGGTGCTTTTTAAACCTTCGGAAGCGGTGCAATTACGTGAGTTTTATTGCCTGGAAGGCTTAGGGTTTTACCGTTTTGCAACTTTTGCAGCAAACCCACAGTCGCGCTTTAAACCGTACACACGCTGCTCATTATTCACACGGGTAATATTGTGTGCAAACATTTTCTTTTCTTTCAAATCCCTTGTCAACATAGATAGTTTATAATTCATTCGGAAAGTTCTTAATCGGGTTCCTCTACGTTGCAGAGAGAACCCGTCGCAAACAAAACGCACAACATGAAATGTATACACAACGTACTTATCCGACTTTGAACTTGCATTCGACACAAATTAAATAGTAATAACTGATAACAAAAAGTATATAGTTATTTAAATAAAGAAACGAAAATTGTATTATCCAATGTATAACTGTGGTTACTCTGAGTTGAGAAGGTTGGGTTGGGTTGGGTTGGGTTAGGTTAGGTTATGTTTGGTTAGGTTGGGTTAGGTTGGGTAGGTTGGGTAGGTGGTAGGTAGGTTAGGTTAGGTTAGGTTAGGTTAGGTTAGGTTAGGTTAGGTTTGAGAATGGTTTTAATTTGTTTAGTAGAATCTTGTATGGATTCTGTATTCGTCCAGGTTCACTTCTAGCTGTCGTTCCAACATGTGAAATCTTTACTGGAAAACTTAAAATTAATTACTAGTCAACATCAGTACTAACAACGAAATGCATCGTCTGGTACGTCTAGAGAGAGAAAGAGAGAGAGAGAGAGAGAGAAATAATCAGGGTTTTTTATGTAAATAATAATACACGTTTATTGTTAAGATTCGTTACTATTATTGTATTTTTTTATCTGAACGACGTTCAATTAAATATGAAAACCAATTTACCTTTTTTTTTTTGTGGGGTTTCTATTAATATTTTTTTAAACGTAGTTCATTCGACACTTTTTAAAGTCTCTTGCATTTAATTTTCAACCCCGTTTAACATCCACACATAGCCAACCAGGCGGCAATTCCGTTAGAACGCGTCCATTTAATACCATTATTTTATCTTAAGTACAACACGAAGGAATTCGAATCGAACGAACCGGAATTGTTGGAACGCTACAAGGTGCGCAGGTAGGTAGGTAGTCGAGGGTGGGGTAGGCTTTTTTATTTAAACATTTTTTTTTTTTTTTTAAGTACATTATGTCTGGGCATTAAGGGGTTGTTGACGTAGCCAGCAAATAATTCGCCACCCGTTTATTACCGCTTTTACGGTCTATTACCTCGTGTCGACTAAATAAGGGACGAGGGTAGGACAGTGGCAAGTCTGAGTTGGCCGATGCCGTTTTCAAAAGTGACAAGAAGCAGCAATTAACAGTACACAATTGTCAATAGAAAGCCACTTATACTTTGGGCGGAACGCTTGTTGTGTTTATACGCATCGACAGTCACGGTCGTTTAGAGTTATTACAACGTGGTGCTCGGTGTAAACTTTAATGTATACAGGGCGTAGTACAATTATTATTAGTGCTGTTTTGATACCCACCTATCTGTCCTGTATTATACATTTGACTAGCAAAGCAAATACACGTCTTGCGTGTCTTACACACAACAAACTAATAGTGTACAATATTATTTACAGGCTGAATATTTGTGTACTGCCAGTATTGAACGAGATACGAATAATTATTGTATAATAATAAAATGTCAAATTCGAGTTTTTAATGATACTATATACTATGATTTTTGTACAGATTGCTAATTGTTTTCTGATTGTAACATAATTTCAAAAATCTTTGCAATACATTAATATATTTTATCGCCGGGGGTCGTACTTAAAATTTGTCCAAAACGTAACGCTGGATGTCACACTCTGACGTCACATTCGGCGGCGGCGAAGAAAGGAGAGGGGAGATTAGAGATTAAAATAGAGATGAGATATTAGAGATACTACATTAGAGCTGAAAATAGAGATAACCGATTAGAAATAAGAGAAAAGAGAATAGTGATCAAAATAGAGATAATAGGTTAGAGATAATAAATTAGAAATAAGATGTTAGCGATAAAAATATAAATAATATATTAGAGATACCACATAAGAGAAAAGAGAAAGAGATAAAAAAAAATAGTGATAATGGATTAGCGATAAGAGATAGAGAAAAAATATAGATATGAGATTAGAGATAAAATAGATATTGTATTAGAGATACTAGATCAGAGATAAAAAAATAGAGATAATAGATTAGAGATAAGAGAAAGGAGAAAAGAGTGTAGGGATAAAAATAGAGTTAATGTATTAGAGATACTAGATCAGAGATAAAAAAAATAGAGATAATAGATTAGAGATAGGATATTAGAGGTACTAGATAAGAGATTTAAAAAAATATATAGAGATAAGAAAAGTACCAAAAATGTCCAGGGTCTTATACTTGAACATGTGGCTATGTATCCGGTTGTAGTGTAATAATAACCATGGTTATTTTTTCTAAGTCATGTTTTTACACTCTGATGATATTCGTCGGTCATTGTTTATTAATTTGTACCTAAACGATGAATGTACCAACGTTCACCGAATGTGTTTGTAAGTCGACACGAAGCGCTATTACGGACAGTAACATATTTTATTTCACATCCAACGCATTTTTTTTTTATATCGTTGCCAAAGTTCAAACATAATTATTATTTATACAGGTCTTATAAATTATTTGTGTTTATACTACGACCCGAATACCCTTTATCGAGAAAAACAGAGGAAATAAATTAGACCCCTCGGCTATACAATTCGTGAGAGTATTCAGCAAGAAAGAGCCTTACCCCGTTATAATTAATATTGCTGGTGTGTCATAATAGACGGCCTAAATATTGACTATTATATGCACGCCAAGGCCACTTTATTCGATATTAAGAACGCAACGGTATAATGCTTGGATAAAAATTCTAAAATAAAACCGCACAGTTTTACCTATAGCTGTTATACTAAGTGTATTTTCATGTATAAAACTAATTGTACCTGCGATTTTCAAATAATTGATGTTTCTCAATTGGTTGTACTTTTCGCCATCAATACATAGTTGGTCTGCATTTGTTTTATTAAAAATTGTGTTCAATATTTAGGTACCTAAACTTGCATCTGTTCTTTCATAACATAATAATAACGTTTAAGTGTTTGTAACACATCTAACCGCATGCATAGGTTTAATTTAATTTAATTATAAGAAAATTAGATAGAAACTTACTACTCCACTTTCTAACTTGGCTTCAAGTTTATTGCAAGAATGTTTAAATCGTTACAGCTATATGTTATAATACTCGAGGTTAGTCAAACGACACAAATTATACTCAAATAATAAATATATTACCTAATATAAATTATGGAGCTTCTTATCTTTTGAAGTTTTACCACTGTTTAATGATAAATATTAGAATCATTTAAATTATGTAAACTTAATTTCTCATTAAAGCTCTGATAAAATAATAATTTAAAAACAGATCAATAACCAATAACACTCCCTAAACGCTTTTATAAGTTGATTTATTCATTATATTTTACCGTTAGACAATTCCTTGATTACTGTAGATAGGTAGGTACAGACTAAAAAGAATCATGAAATAGATAATGATAACTTCTTCTATTGTGTAGTTTAATAGTGGTTATTTCAGAGTTAAACATAAAAAATGGATTATTATCTTATTTTTTTAAGCAATTTGTTGTAACTGCATTACAAGTGGAGATCATTAAAATTGACTGTACTATATTATATAAACCTATTTATATTTTAAATTCTCTACTACTGCGTAAATAAGATAGTAGACTAAAAAACATAATTCTAATCCGATTAAAAAAATTATTTATACCTACTTTAGAAGGTATCTGTTAGTTATATTTTTCACTTAAGTAATACCTATATAAAAATAATGTGGTCTCATCGCTAACAGTATTATGAAACTATACACAAAATATTTAGGCGGCCAATTATGAGACCGGATGATAAATTATTGGTTTGACTTTTAGACTTCAGTGTTAATAAATAAAATAAGACATAAATCATAATACAAACAATTAATTTCGTGTACTAATTACTTATTGTTAGTTAAATTAGACGGTTAAAGTGACACTTGGATCCTCAAAATGTTTTGTTGTAAAACAAATGCTCCAATCTTACTCTTATGTTATTAATAGAGATGGTAAGTAAATATATTTTAACTAAGGGTTTTATCATCGAGTAGTATAGATATTAGCATATTATTATTTACCATTTGACTATTACTATATTACTATTTGAATTTTTCATTCAAGCTTATAAATACATTCAAATTAATACCAGAGCCTTTACCTTTGGTTTTAATGGTTACTATAAAAGTAATAAAAAGGTAAGTTATTATGTTCTGAACCTCATATATTTGTCACTCAAACATGCGTGATATTTTTAAGAACGCGAATAAAATGTTTCAAAATATGCAATTAACATAAGTGGCGAAACAAGTGGAAACATATGATTATAATATTACAAAAAAAAAAATCCATTTATTTTATGGCTATGGATTATCACATTTGTGAGAACTTTAAGCTTGAATATCTCTCCTTTAATTTTCGTCATAAAGAAGACTTGACACGACTGTTTTTTTTTTTCCTAAGATAACTAAATTTACTAACTACATAAAATTATCAAATTTTTAGATAGATACACTAACTTTGAGAACACCGATCGTGTTGCGCGTGTATCTGTTTACTCTTGACGGGGAGGGGGGGGGAGGTTTATATATAAACTGTAAAGCCAAAATCCGGTTTCTTAGCGTCGGCTAACCTTACCTGGACTCGGTGACTTCTGACTCATGATGATGATGAACAGACGAGTCGTCCACTGTGTGTGCAGCGTGGTGCTGCTCGGGTTCTTGCGTCGACTCTACTGACCGCGCGTTATCGAAATCATATTGTTTTTGGGGCTAAAGCGACTATTTTTTTTTTTTTTGGAAATATTTTCGCGAAAATCGCACGTGGCCCGAGAACGAGTCGATCGGCGTGAACGGCGGTGCGGTGTAGCCAAAGACCGTGGGGCCCGGCGTTGTGCGATGGACTGGCCGCTAAACATACACAAGGGTGGCGTGAAAATTCAAAAGCCCCCCCCCCCGGTGGTTTCGCGCCGAACTAAACCGTTTCCCTGCCCCGGTGGTTTAGGGCAAGTGCCGGAGGGTAGTTGCAGTAGTGTACAGAGAGAACACTACATGTGCCCGCATACTAATTCTGACGGCGGTGGTCAAACGCCCCCTTCGCTTCCCGCAGTTTTCCAGACAGTAATTTGTTCAGCTGTGTTTGAATCTTACTGTAAACGCAATATTCGTCATACGACGACCAGCCGGGGCGAACGAAAACTTACTTTATTAGACTACTGAAAATTTGAAAAAGTTCATCCTTTTATATCCCCTTTAAACAGGAGAAATACACCCGAAAAATGTACATTTTTAACGTGTCAAGGGTACAGGGGAAAAACCAGCAAAGTCACTTTTTAAAAACGGCAATTTTTGAATCTGATCTTTATTTTTAAGCACGATTATAAACAAAAATTAAACATTTTTTTTAAGTTTTAAGTATTTTTTTAACATTTAAAAACATTATTTCGCATTGTTTGAACACGTTTTTTTCTTAGATTAGAAAAAAATGACTTTGCTGGTTTTTCCCTGTACCCTTCGTGTATATGTTTTATCGCTGGGGGTCATTCTAAAAATTTGTCCGTAACGTAACGCTGGATGTCACACTCGGTTGCGACAAAAGAAGGAGAGGGGAGATTAGAGATAATAGATTAGAGATAAAAATAGAGATAATGTATTAGAGATAATAGATTAGAGATAAGATATTAGCGATAAAAATAGAGATAATGTATTAAAGATAAGATATTAGAGATCAAAATTAAAGATAATGGAATAGAGGTAAGATATTAGAGAGAAAATATAGATAAGAGATAAAATAGATATTGTATTAGAGATACAAGATTAGAGAAAAGAGATAAGAGATGAATAAATAAAAATAAGAGATAAGATATTAGAGATAAAAATAAAGATGATTGATTAGAGATAGATATTAGAGATAGAGATTATAGATAAAATAGTTATTGTATTAGAGATACTAGATTAGACATTATAGATTGGAGATTAAATATAAGAGATATGAGGCAAGAGATTAGATTATAGATTATACGCTTGAACATAAAGACTTATACATGTGCCATGTATCCGGTTGTAGTGTGGATACTCGTTGGTTTTTTTTTCAACTTAAAACTACGGCGCTCATCTTTTTCGAAATAGTCCAATTAGTTCCAAATTTGTATGGAATAATATTCATAAGACATAGTACTACCGAGTACCGACAAACTTTGACAACCTAAACGATTATCGTACACCGTTTCTCCTAGAAGTGGTGAAATTTTGTTCTTCCTTTCGCTTTTTCATGCAAAGTTTTAGGGGTTTTTTTATGAAAATTAGATCAAAGGTAGATCTATATTGGGGCTATAACATATTATACAATTTCCTTGAAAATCTGCGGTCAAACATTTTTACCTGACAATAGTCAGGTTTTTTGGTTGCTGTGTGAGGTTTGATTATATCACCTTCAGTTATGATAATTCTTGTATACCTGTGACCTTTCCATCCCCACTATGTGTCCAACCCCACTGTACTAGCTTTTTATTTTTTATTAAATTAAAATCAACATCTTTTCCCTTTTCAGTTTCTTCGGTAATAAACTATAGTTCATAATAACTGACCACTAATATAATAATAAAAACCGTTGTAAAAACACAATAATATGAGTGTCTAGTGTAGACTGTCAATGTTATTTGGTCGTTGAACGGAAAATATCGTACAATATATAATATCTTGATAATTTTGTTCATAAGACTTTGGCCGATATGGCTATCGGTTGTATCGTTGTGGTCTTTACTTGTTTGTATATAAGTAACACAACTTTGTATGTTTCCGGGTTGTTTGAATAATTTTCCAACCTCGAGGTCTTGTTGTCTTTTCCTTATCTTGATGTTATGCATTCTATGTACATTTAAGTTGAAGAAATAACTTTGTTTTGTATTATTGTCATTATGCAATCTGTTATAATGCAGAAAAATAAAACAATAATAGACGTAGTATTTACAAAGGGCAGTTTGGGCAGAGTGAGTTATTTAAAGATACTAATTATATTTTTTTCTATTGATACCGCCTTCTTAATATTTTTTGGGGGGTTGCCAGGAATATTTATTGATTGGATTTCAGAAATGAGAAGATTAGGATGATTAGGATGACTTGTTCTGTTTCAGCCACAGTGGAAATGTTTAGGTCTTTGCGATTAGAGTGATTGCAAACATAATGTGAGGCTTTACAAATAGTTTCTAGAACTTTTGGTTGTTATCTCTGAATACGGTTACTGTTAAAGATTTGGCCAGCACCAGATGGGTCTAAACACAGTCTTTGTTTTTAAATAACATGGTGGCGCACTCTCTCCATAACCGCCATCGCCATCGTGCGCAACTATTGAGCGAAGTAGTGATGCTGAAACGCCAATACTATATTGTTTGGAACAGAATATTGTACATTTTTAAATATCTCTTAAAAAGAACCTATTGCGAAATGCGTAATGAAAATATTATAAATTAAAATTAAAGTATTCAGTAGTAAAAAAAATAAACACTTGTAAACAACTGTTTGAACACCTATATGGCCTATGTATCATAAAATAATATAATAACGAGCAAAACACACAACTGAATGGTTTACTTTAAAATGTAAATACCGTCTAAACTAAGCTATAAGCTAATATAAAAAAAAAAGCACAGCACTTAATTTGCTTGGTTTGAACTGTACTGGTTTAAACTTATATGTTTGTAACTGTTACATTACAACGTGTAGTACACAATAACATGTCTGGAAATTCAGACACTGCACGAAGTTGTTAAAAAAATAATATAAACTATAGATACATTATAATGTTAAAGAAAATCACAAGATTAATTTCAAAATTTAATTGGTCAAAAATTGAAGTCTGATAAAAAAGAGTAAAAATAAATGAAGTAATGTTTAGTTGTAACAGTCTTGTGCGTTCTTTTCTTAAATCAACAAACATTTTCATTTACAAAGTAATGGCGACATAACATATGTAATATGCTAAAGCATATTTAACGAATTTGTTTATAATAGCAATATTTTTTTATAAATTATGATTATGACAACACGAATGTTTTTACATTTTGGTAGCGTTTTGTTGTTTTACAAATGACATTGTTTTTTTTGGTCATACTAAAAAAAAAAACTGTTTCTACATGGTCTGAATAACACTTGCTAATTAATGTATATTTATAATGCTACACACTAATAACGAGAAGATATTTTATTATTTATATTTTGTCTAAGCTTATTTTTTAAAATAATTATACGCGACCCTTTCAAATGCTTTTATACATAACTATCTTTATATAAGATATTGAGTAACAGCTTAACAATTACCACATGGTTCGTTAACAAGGTCCATTTCAATGTTTCTATTTCTTTATAAATGAACTGTTTCAACTTCCAACGATTCCAATGATATAGCTTAAGTTGCAAAACAATAATCTGTTACACATTACATTTCCAGCTTAATTTTAATATTACAAATGGTCATATTATTAGGTGACGTTATCGAATCAATACATCAATGTTGGGAACTATTTAAAGGATTTCATTGAAATGCTGAACACTTACAAGACGTTCAAGATCCCTCCCATCAGTTTTAATGATGACGAAATAAGATTATTGACTACCAGTAATATAGAAGATTCACTATATCATAAAATACTCGCTCAATTGAAATACTACCGCAAGGGTCAAGAAATTCAGTGCGCACAATATTTGATATTGCAATACGTGTTATATCGCACCATGACGACTACTAGAATAATTGCTGAGCAGGTATACAATATGATAGCGATGGCATACAAAGGGAAATTCATAGTATTTAAATGGCTTTGGGAATTGCATATCAACCTTTGGTCACCGAATTCGGACTACATGGTAAAACCATTTAGTATGATCGAGCGTGATCTAAAAAAATTTAAAAGACCTTTAGCCGATTTAGTAGAAATGTGTAAGGGACATAAATATATAACAGTCATAGATAATAATGAACAAAACCCTGATCGTACGGTAAGTAGGCCAAGTTTGTTAAATACAATTTTGGAATGTTTTAAATTCAAAGGCAAGAAATAATAAAACAATAAACTGGTAGGCCGCAATGGTCTTAAATATATGGAAATTTATAATTTGAACCACGAAAAACATAAACTATATAAACAAAATACACCTGCATTGCCTTTTAAAATCAATCATTTATCCTTGAGATATGTATGGGATGACTCATGGTTTTTGATTGAACCAATATTGAACGTTACTATTGACTGGGGTGCTATCGAACATGTGTACGAAATGAATGGTCAAAAGGTCTAGGATCAGTTCGAAATTACACATGACTGGACGAAGGACCCGTTTAAACATGGTATTCGTTTTCAGCAATCGTTTATAGATATCATCAGGGTAAAACTATATTGTTACATTTATGTGCTAATATCTTTATATAAACCGTCTGAAGTAGTATTTTATGTTTATCAAAATTACCTGATCTTATGACATGCTTAGGTTCAGTTACATCGAAGACGAAACATTAAACAATATAATAACGTTGTATGATTACGTCAAAGTACTTAACGAAGAGCATATTAAAGTAGTTTTGAAAATAATAACACATGAAGTAAATACGATTTTGACAAACTTAATTGGGAGTACTAATAATACTACATTGGCCGACCTTTCAGACATTAACACGCCACCATCACGTTCTTATTTTGAAGTCATAATTAATAAACATGAACCAGATTTTTTTTTAAACAAAATCGATGATCAACTTAAAAATTTTGGACGAAAGTTTAATAAAACATTAGACGGATTAACAATGGATGTATTATCGTTCTTTATCAACGGAAGTAAAAATACACACCTTTCTGTTTTCCCTGAAAATTGATATCAACGCTTCTAATACTAATATAA